TTGAATTGTTTTGTCTGCAATTTAATTTACAAAATGAAATGGGCTCTTTATAGGCTTTATTATGTAATCCTGCCTACCAATTCTGAGGAGCAATAGTATAAACTACTTCCTTATATGAGCATCAGAATAAAATATCATTTCACAAGTATGTGGGCACCAATGTAGCTCAACAAGTTTTAGTTCATGTGCACCATGACATCAGCTATCTTTGAAGCACCGGACACCACACTAGCAACAAAATGAACTTTGTACATGACCCCGACAATGCACAAAGCTGGCAGTTCCTCTTGCACCCATCCCCACTGTCTTCTCTGCTATTAATTTTAGATGATAAATAACCCCTAAATTAACTTAAAGAGAGATGGCTTAACAAACCTGCAAAGCACTCTACCACTCACTGACACTACTTTTGTAATAGAAATTGTAACAGTATTTTATCAGGCAAGACCTTCATTTTTCATCTACTTATAGTGTAATATAGACCATTATCTACAGCCATGAAATAGGATCTGTGACCCAAAGGGAAGCCTTCAGCTTTATTCTTCTAAATAGTGTCTCCCTACACTGAATGATAAAGTGCTTATAAGAGGGACAGTTTAAAACCCAATTTGCAAGGCAGCATGTCAGCAGCTACTCAGAAGAAAAAAGTAATCAAATGTTTATGCTGGGATAGCATAAAGTTCTTCACAAAGTCTATATTGCTTTCTGGATCTGACATAGACACTCTGCATTGGCAGAGTAGGGAAGAAAATTGTTTCAAGTGGCCCAACCATCTGTAACTGATTTGGTAAGTTAGTGAAGAGGAACAAAACCTCAGAGGTCAACTGAAGCTTTCCTGAATCACAGCATTTTTCCACTGCTTTAAGTCCAAGACATGTGTTTGTCTTTTCTCATCATCTTCTTCAGCACTGAATTCTACTTACATTTACTTTCAGCCTCATCTTAAATTACAGAGACACGCAGCATTTCTTTTCAGAATTAGTTTACACTGTTGCTAGATTTCCACGTTCAGGAGCATCCACAGGGAGGGCCAAAAAGTCAAGATGGTGCCTGTGACTGCAGTGGAAGCCCCAATCCTTTTTTACATGCACTGCACACAGTTTTTTCCTGCTAAGGTGGACTGTGGTTGCTGTTGTTTAAATTTCTCCTGTACTTGGAGACTCGTTTTACTTTTAGAAGGCATGCACTTAGTTGTCCTTTAAACAGAGAAACCATACAAATTTAAGTGTTGATAGGATGATTCCTGTAATACAAAACAACATCTCCTTGGATAGCAGAGACCTCTAGGGTCAAACAACTACACACAAGCTTTGTTCATATGTAATCCTAAAGCTGCTGTTTAGCATGCTGTAATAAGCCAAGGCAAGCTTGACATAATTCCTGCTCCTCTTCTTGGCACAACTGCTGGTCAAAGACTTCTGGCTGTTTTCAGTTAACCACATTTTAGTTTCTTTTGAACTCTGATTGATTTGTTCTACAGTTTATTAAAATAAGGCAGTTTTCTTCACTAGTCAGAAGCTGCTTTGCTTCTGTTAAAACGAATGGTATGTATTGAAGTTCAAGCACAACATTAAACTGTGTTTAGTTTTTTTTAAATGTCACAGTATGTTGAAGATGATGAAAAGCAAACGAAGTTAAAACTTAACCTCACTCACTCATATTTGGATAAAGCCACAATCTTTTAAAATGAAATCAAGAGAAATGCATCCCACCTGCTTCACTGTGGAAGTGGCATGCATGTTTGGACAACCTCCCTAAGTTGGGGTTGCAATAGTAAATGTATTGTAACAACTGTGTAAAGTTTGGATGGATTGAGCACCCAATGCCACATCTTTGCACTGTTATTTAAATAAAAATAGCCATGACAATCTTCATGGCTATCATAAATGTTAACTTTATGGGAAAATTTACCCTACCTCCTTTTTTTGGCGGTATAAGCATGAAAACTTGATATATTATGGCTACGCAAGGCATTTAGAAAAGGTGCTTCACACAGCATATTAACTCAAAGGAAATATCTTTCTTTGAAGCAATAAAGCACCTGTGTCTTCTGATTTAAAAGCTATTCCTGTCTGTATTCATACACTTGTATATCCTCAGATAGTTACTGTCACAGAGATGTATGCACACATACACATGGAGAGAGCTGGGACAGCTTTTGAAGCCATCAGACAAGCCTTCTGACAGCTCTAATTCTTCTACTATAACTTGTACAGCAGAGAGCCAGTTTGGTGTAGTGGTTAAGGCACCAGGCTAAAAATCAGGAGACCATGAGTTCTAGTCCTGCCTTGGACACGAAGCCAACTGGGTGACCTTGGGCTGGCCAGTCTCTCTCGGCCCTAGAAAGGAGACAGACAAACTACTTCCAAAAACACTGCCAAGAAAACTGCAGGGACTTATCCCAGCAGTCGCCAAGAGTCAACACTAGCCTGAGGGTGCATGTGCGCGTGCACACACACACACACACACAAAAAGCAACCTGTACAGGCCTCTTAAGGAAACATTTGAAGATGAGAATCACAATTCAGGTTTATTATCTCAAATACCGGACTGAATGGAAGCCATTCTAGATTATTGAGACTTTTGTTTGCTCCACTTTAATCGGGCAATCATTTTTTAAGTACAGACCTCCCTCTAGTGGCTATACTGCTGCAATTGTCATTAAGTCTTCTAGGAAAACTGGCAATAACATGCCTTCTGGAATTACCATAGAGCTAGATGCAAGCCTGAACTTTTCCTGTAAATAACCTAGTAGGACGAAAGCTTCTTCACAATCATTACATAATGATTCTCATTATTCTATAATACCAATTCAACGTGTAGAGCAAATAGTGCTGTAACATTATAGGTAGTCCTCATTTAGCAACCACAATTGGGACTGGCAACTCAATCTTTAAGCAAAGCAGTTGCTAAGTGAAACTGTGACTGTGCTTATGATCTTACCTCAGCTTTCCTCTGCTTTACAGACCTGTGAAGGTCATAAATATGAGGATTGGTTGTAAAGTTACCTTTTCATCACTATCATAACTGTGAATGGTTGCTAAACAAGGCAATTGCTAAACAAGGAGTACCTGTAATACATTACATCTTATTCAAGAGGCTGATTTTGAGTTAAATAAGGGGCCTATATGGGTGCTTGCTATTACTTTTAAAGCAGGCCTATTAGCTGTTATTGGACTCCAACAGCTAGCGGGCTCAGCCAGTATTGCCAATAATGAAGAATACAGAAATTCAGCCAATCTGGAAAACCATGGATTCTTCTCCCGCATGACTTAAGATCCTAATGGAGCCAAGCACATGTACCTGATATGGTGCACCCCCATCTATTTTCCTCATTCCTCTGATTGCAAGGACATTCTTTCCTTAACCAAAGCAAAACAGGTAGAATTTCTAATCAGAGCTTCCTCCCAGCAGCCCCTCACTATGGCATCTCAGAGCATTTTGGAACCAAGCACTTTAAGCAGCTAGCTTTTTAGTTTGTTTTATGCTTAACAACCATTCTTGCTTAACAACTATTTGTTTAGCAACTGTTTAAAGTTATGATGATGCTAAAAAGTGACTTACGACCAGTGCCCAAAGTTACAACCATCGCAGCACCCCCAGGGTCATGCGATCACAATCTGGGCGCTTGGCAACCAGCTCACACTTACGATGATTGCAGCATCCTGAGGTCACATGATCACCATTTATGACTTTCCCAGCTGGCTTCTGGCAAGCAAAATCAATGGGGAAGCCTGTGATTCACTTAACCACCACAGTGATTCGCTTAATGACCACCGCAAAAAAGGTTCTAAAATTGGGTCTGGTCACATGATGATTTACTTAACAACCACACTGCTTAGTGACCTAAATTCCAGTCCCAACTGTGGCCGTAAAGCAAGGACTACCTGTTTGTGTTACATTTCTGGCACATCATTTATTTGTATCCATAACTGGGTAAGATCATTACCAGCACCTACCAAAAGGGCACACAACTACTTGCTATCTTTCAGGTTTTCCACAATTCTTCATCAGATCAGATGAAGAAAACAAAATGGCAAAACTTAGGCCATGAGCTTTGTCCATGAGATTGAAAGTCAGCCTCAAGATGGAGATTGTAGGCTAACTGTATTTGTTTATGGGAGGTGTTACTGGCACTGGGTTACACCTAGCATTTAACAACAAAAGTGATGGCCAATGCCTCTTTCCAAATTTTGAACACACAAAGAATGCCATTTTCATTCTGCTTCCTCTTGACAATGGATAGATTTTTTTTTCCTTAGGATCCAACATGGATATAATTTTTAAAGGTTTTTAATAACAAAGTTGTTTTAAATTGAAGCATATATAGCAAGAGCAGCAAGAGCTTTTATTAATGCCTTTTATTGGTTTGGTTTTATAAGTATTTGTTTTACTGTGTTTACTGTAAGCTACCTAGAATCTTGTGAACAGGCAGCATATACGTGTTGGTAAATAAAATAAACAGAATATGCACTACTATTATCACTACAAAAACTATAGAATATTTTTTTCATCAAATAGAATCCATTTTCCACTATATAAAATCAAGTGCATATTATCACCTAAAAATCTACATATTCATGATTAAAGCAGATAGTAATCTCTGTGGTTAAGATCCTGTGGAAGTAAGATAGTAGCAATTCACCTTTAATCATAAAAGTCACTTAATTTTAGTATGAAACATGTGCTTAATGACAGCAAAATAGTTGATTGTCCAGTAAATGTTGGGATAATGTCAATTAATTATATGAAGCCAACTAAATGAAACCTAGCAGATCAGTATCAGACAAGGCACATGTACATTTTTTAGAAGGGGCATCAAATGCATGAGCAAGGTTGGTTTTTACTTTACTTGTGAAGTCTAGAACTGTGTTACAAAAGTTAGCAAATCAAAGTATGAATGAAGAAATACCTGAGGAAATATCTTCCCTACCCACCAACCCCAGCATATCCCACTAACTATTTAAAACACCCTGTCTTAGAAACAGTGAGAGACATACCATATTTCAAATATTTTATTTATTGTACAAACTATTTACATTAGAGGCTTACATAACCTTGCTGAATTCTACCTGAAGCTGGCCACTGGGAACTGGCCCTGACCAAGCTAAAGTAACAGGTCTTGATTTTAAAGCATGCGAGATAGTCTCATACGTAGGGTGTCCGAGAGACAGAGATTTATAGGAGCCTGCACTGCAAACTAAATCTTTATCCCTGGAATTAATCCACATTGGATGAAACAAACAAGGGCCAAAGAAACAGAGGAAACTTATTCAGCACTCACACGTGTGTGCACACATACTAGAGTTGGTTACAGCACAGCCTGTATCATATCACACAAAAAGAACCAGGGTATTATAACATGTTTAGGAAAGAATAAGCAGCAAGGATTTAGGAAAATGAGATCTGCTGCACTGAAATTATGAAGCACAGTGAAAAATGTGACCCTATTAATTAAGGGAATGCAGACAAGCACATATTATTATGTATATTATTAGCTAAAAATTAGTGGTGTCCACCACTGTTTTGACTGTGCTTATGTAAAGAAAATTCTTGGCTTCTGCAAAGAGGCAAGAAGTGCCAAATGCATTTATTAATAGAGTAGTTTCAAACAGAGGATATCTGCTGAATATCCAGACACTTGGTCCTCAGTAAAAAAAAGGAAAAGAAAAAAAAACTGAGCTCTAGAGAAGAAACAAAGGGATTCCTGAGGAAGATGTAGCAGGGCCAGCCTCTAGCCATGCCTGGGAATGCCTTGGGAGGTCACGGAGCAAAAGAAAAGACTGGAACAGCATCAAGAAACACCCCACCCTCTAAACCCATCACTTGGCTGAGCTACACAGCATAGTCTTTGTTTGGTCCCCCGGATGAGCAGTGGGCAAGGTTTCAAGGCATTCACAAGCCTTAATTGCACTGACCACAGAATTTATCCTTAATACAATCAAGATGGTACCTACGTGCTTTTTAAAAAAGCAATTGCTTAAAGGAGAAAAAAATGCCTGCCAATGGAGAAAAATACAGTGTTGGTCTCTAAAAATGCCCCCCAAAGGAAGGGATCCCTGAATTGTTTCAATACTCAGTTATTCTAATGGTTTTGGCAAAACAATGGCTTGAACTTCTTTAAAATGTGGTACACATTCAAACGAAGAAAAAGTTAACAGTATTCAATGAGGCAGATTTGCAAATGATTCAGCTGATGATGGAGAAGTAAACCACAATATTAAATAATATCATAAGATATGCCCATTCTTCTCCAGAAAATTAAAGCCCCAGTGTGTAGCAGAATGACTTCTTCTAGCAGGTAATGACACTATAATCTTTAGCCATGGATATCTCTCTCCTCTGACCAGGATAAATGCACTGTAGGTGCCAACAAAATACTCAGCTTTATTATCCAGTCAGATTTTGGCTTTGTTGACAAAAATTGGTTAAGCTGCCAGCTGGAATCCCTGAATTCCCAGTCATTATTGCCAAGGAAATGGGAGTGCTAAAGGTGTTGTCTTATGTAATTGATGAGTATGTTTCAATTACAACTCACCTTGCTGCCCCCTTCTAGTCCAAATAGTAGTGCACTGTGTTGCCTTGCAAGCCCACTTCCTCAGTGTCAATAATAAACAGCTTCAATATTGTCTCCTAAAATTACCATGGGATGCTTCTGATGCAGAACACAGGAAAGAAAAGTGCTGGAATAACTGTCTTGTTTAACTACTTTCTGCCTGACCCAAGCTACAGAAATAACATTTTTGCTACCATTAGCTGAACAGAGATTGCTAACATGTGGCTCCCCAGAGGTTTTTGGATTCAAACTCTCATGAACCTTAACCTCCACAGTCAATTGGTGAGTGACCACAGGAGAGACTGCAGCATCTGGAAGGCCACATACTTTCTTTGTGGTAGAAGTAAACCAGCAGACCACCATGAAATGAGAGACATAGAAAGAGGGTTGGGTCCAGTACTCAAGGCCACATTGCACTGGTCCATAACGCTAGTTGCCTTGTGCCCTACCACTACTGCTTTCAAATCCTCCCAGAAGTCAGTGGTGGAATATGAATGACAGCCAGTTACCTGTATCTTTCCATATAGATATATAGCTATATCCATTGATTCTTTAAAAACAAGTGGAATCTGAAGGTGGTAAGTAAAAACAACTTGTTTGAAGTCCATGACCACTCTCAGAAATAGTGCCTAGAGGAGAGAACTCTTCTTCCAACTCAGTGGCAAAAATCAGTGGAAACTCTTTCATCCTTTTTGCTAGCTCCTGCTGGGTGGAGGACCAACATCACTGTCAAGAACCAGCACTTGTGCTCCAGTGATAGAATTCTTGTCACCAACAAGAACAACAAGTGGCAGCGTGCAGTACAAGGTGGCTAAGAAAACTAAAAGCCTTCCTGTAACATCCAAGTAAAGGGGGATTGCTTACATGAAAACTTAGGCCAAGGCATGGAAAGGTATTAAGACTTCTGTAATCTGGGGATTCAGAGCTCCCAAACTCAACCAGTCACCCCCCCAAAGCAACGTTATGTAATCTGTCCTAGTCTTCTCCCGTACCAAGCTGCAACACTGGCTTACGTGCTTCCTCCCATCAGAAATCCCAGACACATCATGCCCATGAAATACAACTCCAATCTCACTCCACAGGTGAACCCCAATTCACAACATGTACCCCACTGAGAAGGGAGTGATCACCATAAGACTCTGAAATATTCCAATTCGCATGGTGCCTTTCTCTGCTCTCCACTGCCCTTTGGATGGGCGAGAGAAGGATCTGTGAAGTAAGACTGAGCCTTGCCCTGAAGAATTAAGGAAGATAGTGGGTTCCTCCAGAAGGTGTCAGAGCATGCCAAAGCCCTCGCAGCCCTCACTAATGGCCAGCTGCAGCATCTTGTGCACCTCTTCATAAGAATCATAAGTGGGGAGGCACAGCTGGTTAAAACTGAAAGAAAGAACACAGCTATAGTACAAAATGTGAAACATCAAAACCCATCCTTCAATACCTCCTATGCAAGAGAAACTACTCACAGTACAATACACTACTGCAAATCTCTAGAATCTCTCTAGCAGTGAAAAACTTCTGATTATCAGTATGAAACTTGCTACAGATAACAAAAGATCTCTAGCAGATACTCACCAAGTATGGGCTGTTGGAAGTGTACTATGTGTTGGAGCTGCAATAATTTGGAAAGATGGACAAAGTGCAGCAAATCCTCCAGGAGGCAGCTGAGAAGAGCCAGTGGTAAATTGCAGCAGTCTAGCCAGTTCCTCTTGTGTGAAACTAGACACTACTGTCCAAAACCAGCGCATCACCTAGAAGGTACAGTACAAGTCAGGGAAGTAAGGATAATGACAGTAGTGGGGTGAGTACATTTCTAAATTTCTAGCAAAATGAGCACCATAGGTGCCATAGACAGCCAATTCTGAAGATGATTTAACAAGTGAATTAAGATGTCATATACACACAAATAAATTTTAATTAAAAGGCAAAGTACACATGTTTAAAGAACATTCTTATGATGTTTACACAGAAATATGGAATTATAGAAAATTCAGCAATTTAGCCTGTTGTCCAGTAGTTGCTTTTTCAATTATACCTCCCCTAATTTATGAAGCATTTCTCTCTTCTTAATACAGAATCAAAATTGCTGTTATGATCATTGTGATGGAGGGAGGGATTCATGCTACTCACCTTTTCTCGGAAGTGCCATGAACCACCAACTACCACAGCATGTGCTTTGAAATCACAGACGTTGATATCTCCTGTGCCACACATCAGCAACTGGAAGAAAATAAAAACTTCACTCCAAAAAAAAAGAAAAAAAACTTTTGGTGATTTTCTTTCAAACCACACATCATTCAGTGAATCTTAAAGCCTCTGAATTAAGAATAGGGATATCTAACAGCAAACTCATATATTGAATTGCTTACATGATTATAGCCAGAAGAGGGAAGTGTCAGTATGTTCACATGAATCTGCAACTTGCAAAACAATTTTTACAAAAATCTTTTTTTAAGTATATATGGGGACCAAGCTTAATAATCTCACTTTCCTCCTTATTGTAATGTTTTTATGTGAAAGTTATGCTGTCCAAAACTGCACCTTTTGCTGCTGAATTTCAGTAGCACAATTTTTGAGAGTGCAGGGAGCCAAATGGGTGCAAGTAGGGAAAGCTTTCATACAGGTGAATTAAAGCACAGAGAACTATTCAGTTTTCCAGCTAAGAAATTACTCAGATGCCACAGAAATACATATGGAACTCTGCTGCTTTCCAAACCACTGCAGACTTCCTGCCATGAAGCATTGAGCATATGGCAACTTGAATAAATGTTTAAATTATCTTCTAGGGCAGAGGTTTTCAATGTTTTTCAAGCTGCAGAACCTGCATCCTTTCCATTGTACCTTAGAAAAATTGTTATGAAAGTCCCTGGCTGCATTCAAGTGAACTTTTTCCCCCCTTGGCCTTTCATAGAACCCAGGGTTGTGTGGAATACAGTTTCAAAAACCCTAATAAATTTAAAATATGAAAAAATGCTACTAAAAAAGCAATGCAAGGCACTATTTCTCCAAGGTGCACATACCCTATGATTGCAGCTTCCCTCTCCTGCTTAGATCTCCTAAGCATGTAGCATATTCAAGAATGGAGCTCAGTTCATGAGTGACTCAACCAAAATGATTTTTATGTGGCCAAGGTAAAGTCATATATTTTATACAAACAAGGCAATCACTCATAAATGGGATTCCAGCACCAACTACTCTACCATTTCATATTTATCTGAGAATATGCTCCTGTCTTAAGGACAGCAAAGCCCAATTTCTCACCTCAAGTTCATTTTCATCAAAAATAGCCAAGAGGTTTTCAGGAACCAATTCATTGAGACCTAAAAGAGAGCAGCATAATAGATAAACCACCACAACAACCAGCAAAGGGCATTAAAACCCAGATCAATTTTCCTGACTTTCTTGTTTTCTTTTAAATGAACTATATTCATTTTGGGGAAAACAACTCAAGCTAAAAAAAGCAAAACAAAACAAAGATCACATGTTGTGCATTACCTTTCAAAAAATGTTCCACCTCTTCTCTAACTTGATTGGCTAGTCTATACTGCGCAAGCAGATTCAGGTACAATATTTTATTCTCATTGGTTACTGGCATTTGAGCACCCCCAGTTAACAGTTCAACTACCTGAAAACAAAAAATGAGAGAATGTCCATTGGGTGAAAAAAGTACATCAGTTTCATATGATGTCCTTTTCCCACTCTAAGTGGGAGACATCTAAATTGTATCTTATCAACAACTGATTTCTCGCCTTCTCAAGCTGTCCAAGTCTGTTGTATTTTTCCTCAGCAAAAACCAATTCCATTTCGTTCACATCATTATTGAGAATAAAGCAAACTTTAGATTTATAGAACTCTGGGTCATCTGTCTCAAAATACTGCAAGAAGAACAAAATAGAAGGAAGGACAAGAGAGTAAATAAAGTTAATATACAGTGCAAAATCTTGATCTCTGCTTTATTTTCTAAAAGAATATCAAAAGACTAAGAGTGATTTTACCTTGTAGTGCATTCTTAATCCTATGATCTGAGCCAAGAAAGATCTTGTGAATCGAGCTCTCACTAGCTGTTTATAAGCTCCTCCCAGAGATGACTCAAAGAGACACTTTCCAACCAAGCGCCCTGCAAATTCATATATCTTCAGTCTTAGATAAGAAGGTCGGTTGGGATTGGGGTGTACCTACAAACAAAAAAGCTCACAATCAGAATGGCAATTAGTACAGTGACCTCTTAGACTTAGAACTTGGAGAAGCATGCAAATATTTGGCCATAAGTCTCTGAACAGAAGAAACAGACAAAAAACTATTTCCATCATGATTGATAGAAAGATACCCACCAGTGCTTGATTATTGTCACTGAAGCGGGTAAAAAGTTGGTTGGTTGTGTCAAACAAAACTTTACAGATCAGTTCAAACCACTCTCTACGAGGACCTCCCCAATCCAAGGCTGCAAAAGAAAAACCCAAAATTAGTTAGATCTTAGGGAAGCCTATGCATTCAAGAATACAGTGGTCAAAGAAAAATCTCTCTCTAAACATGGTGTCTTTTATTACAAAAATATTTTTGCTTGCAGGCAGAAGGCCAATAGAGCTAGCCTAGCCTTCCATGGCATGGCGTTTCACAGACTCGGAAAGCCAGTATGAAGTCTTCTCTTGTGTTCCCACCAAATATGCTCAGAGGGCTGTGGCATGAAGAGAATATTATTCTACATTCCTCTATATCCAGTCAATGTAGCAAAAAGGTTTGTGCTACATTGGATGACTGTTTTATTTAGCATCATACTTTGGATTAGCAATTTAGTATGTGCCCAAATATTGTTTTATTTGTAAAGTAAGGATTGTTTATAAATTCAAAAGTGTTTGATAGATGGGTAAACTCAAAAGTGATAGATGTAATGAAATCCATAGATGTTTCGGCTGTTAATAGCATTGCAAAAAGCCAAAACAGACATTTATTCCCCTTTCTTCTGATGTATCAATTTCATAACAAATTAACACACCTTCTTCATCCTGAAAAGTCACTTCAAAATTTTTGCTCCAGTCGGAAACAGAAAAATTCCGTGTTGCTTTCAGAGACTATGAATAAAAGAAAAATCCAGCATAAACTGATGTTTAAAACAAGAAGCTAATATGAAATCGTATATTTCATCTATAAATACTGTTAATATACAGATTCCCTCCAAAATCTCTATTCTGGCCTAACTTATAATACAAGTTAGCATTCTTTTCTTAAGGCCACTTCTTCATACCCAGATTCATTTGCAGATTATTCTCAGAGGTTTTTTGTTTTCATTTTTTGCTTTGCAATCAATTTCCGCACCTTGCATTGCTTTTCTATTTGCCATGTGAACTACGTATGTCTTTATGCACACATGTATTATTATTAGCCCAAATCAATCCACTGCAGGATGAAGGCCTTCACTGAAGGTTATGGACCATAATCTACCATGCAAGTCCAGTGTGAGTTGATAGATGGTTGATGGTTTTTCAACTTCCTAATCTAGAGCTGAGAAACTGACTGCCCTAAGTCACCCAGCCAGCTTCTGTGCCTAAGTGAGAACTAGAACCTGGGTCTCCCCACTCTTAGTCCAATAACTTAACCACTACATCACACTGCAAACACATAAAGGGGTTTTATTTCCATTCACATAGTTATAAATATGCTATATACAATTTTCCTTTTATTAAAACTCAGTTTGAGCTATATATTTTGGAATGCTAGCCTCCAAAAGCTATTTTGGCTTTCTTGGTTTAGTGTCACCTGCAAATATGATGACTAATCTCCACACTTTTATTTAAATCTTAGGCTGCAATCCTATAGGTACTTACCAAGGGGTAATTACACTGAACCCATGAAATTGCACTCAGAACTGCACAATTAATATAGAAAATCTAAGTATCTTTCCCTTGGTCCTATTTGCTCACCCTCAGTCAGACAGGGAATGCAAAAGAATATATGAACATACTGAATACCTAATACAGACACTTTTCTTGGGAATGAGCCTAATTCCTCATCCACTTGGACTTTGAAGAAGCAGGATAGAAAGAGTATTGACATTTTTGAACTTCGTTGTTGGAGATAACTCCTGAGAATATCAGGGATAGCCAAGAAAACCAACAAATGGACCACAGAAGAAATTAACTCAGAGTTCTCACTTGATGCACAAATGATCAGGCTCAAATTATCATATTTCAGACACATTGTGTGAAGACCTAGCTCTCTGGAGAAGGCTCTGATGCTAGGAAAGGTGGAAGAAAAGAGAAGAAGAAGACGACCAGCAGCAAGTTGGATGGACACAGCCGCAATGGGAAAATCACTGGAAAATCTGAAGAACCAGGCTGAGCACAGAATGTCCTGGAGAAGATCCATCTGGGTGGTCGCTAAGAGTCGACATCAGTTGGTGGCACAGAGTCAATCAATCAAATTTCCTTTTGTTGCAATTTGATAGCTACAACACCACTACAATTACATATTTAAAATGAGTATCTGTAGGAAGATGATCATCTACAGAGAATGAAAGCATGTACTCTGTTCTGTAATTTGCATTCAAGAGGAAAACACTTATTTTTAATGTGCTGAACCCACAACAGTAAACCTGATTGGAACAAAATCTTAGATTGGCACAGAATGTCTACTTTAGTTTAGTTGCCGGTTCTTTTACAATCAATATGCAGTACATATAAGGTATTTCTTTTGAGCTGCATGATATAGTTACAATAATATATTGCAAGAATTTCAGAGGGAAAGTCTTCTTGTATTCAGAGTATACTGTGTATATTCTCATGATTATAGCTACTCAAGGGCAAACTTCCTCAAATGTGAAATTAAAGCATCTAAAACAGGTGGCACTAAAGATTAGCCTCATCTCCTCTTGCACAATTACAGGTTGTGATGTAAATTCACAGACTTGGTAGATATGTGTTCTGGCTCAGATACAAAAGTGAAATTTGTAGACACCGTAAAATCACCATACTCTTACAGAGTTGGCTATAGAACTGATCAGAGTAGAGGTGTCTGTGGCCTTCATCCTAAGTGGCTCCCAGGATGGTGCAATAACAATGTGATTAAATTGAACTGATAAAATAGAAGTTGAAAATCTTTCCAGGACAGTGTTTTAGAATGTATGTAATAAGTTAGGATCCAGCCTAAAATGTCAATGAAACTAGTAGCTAAAAAAAGGCTTCCATCAGAAAATGGAAGCATTTCCAAATGAGGAAAAGAAAAAGGAATATATAGGAAGAATATCAAACAAATGCAAGACGACAGTAAAAGAGAATTAGGGATTTTGAGGAAATATCAGTGATAACATAGATACCATCAACAATAAAGAAAAAATTGAAATACATCAGAAGCAGAAAAGTGGCTAGAAAGATGGTTAGATTGATTGGTTAATTGAGACTTAAAAGAATATTCACTGTACCCCATTTTTGTAACTCAAAATTAAACAATATGGAATGGAAACAAAAATAGTCAGGAGTTTGTACCCTAAATTTTTAAGATTGAGTTTTAAGATTGAGAAGAAAGTAAAATATCTGGGTATCACAATGACAAATATGAATTGTATGTTATTTCGAAATGATTATGTTAAGACATGGAATGAAGTTTAAAAAGTTCATACAGTTATACGCTGCCCGGAGTCACCTTGTGTGAGATGGGCGGCTATATAAATTAGATGGATGGATGGATGGATGGATGGATGGATGGATGGATGGATGGATGGATGGATGGATAGGACACGTTAAGATGGGAGAAACTACAACAGTCATTGCTGGAGATAATTTCTGTGATAAAAATGAATGTCTTGCCTAGAATTGTATTTTTGTTTCAGACAATACTTGTTTTGACAACTGATGCACCATTTAAACAGTGGCAAAAGGATATATCTAAGTTTGTGTGGCAAGGGAAAAAACCACGAGTTAAATGTAAGGCGTTACAAGATGCAAAGGAAAGAGGAGGATTGGGTCTACCTGTTTTGAAATTGTATTTTGCAGCTTGCTGTTTGGTTTGGATGAAAGAGTGGGTGCTGCAAAGAAATAGAAGGCTTTTGGAGTTAGAAGGACATGACCTGAGATTTGGGTGGCATGGATACTTATGGTATGATAAAGTCAAGGTTAATATGGATTTTAAAAACTGTTATGTTAGATGTGCCATATTGAGAATATGGAATAGATACAAATCCAGGTTGGGTCTGAAAACACCTCTGTGGTCCTCAGCACAAGAAGCATTTTATAGATGAGAAGTAATAGGCAAATCGAAACAGTTAATTTATTGTGAGGTACTAGAATTTTGTCAAGGGGAATACAAAATAAAGATTATTGTATACCCAAAGATGGAAAGATTTGGCAATACCTACAATGGAGGAATGGTTGGTGAAGATGACAGAAGTTGCTGAGATGGCCAAATTGACTTGTTTGGTCAGAGAAAAAACAATATTCACATTTTATTGCTGACTTGAAACTCCTTATGGACTGCATAAAACAGAAAAAAATGGAACATGATTTATGGTTTTGATGATTAGATAGGGCAGATTATAGAAAGAAGAGAGGCATGATGTAACTTTAGAGAAAGAGATAAATTTATCATTGTACTTATAATTGCTGTAAAGAAGATCAGAAACCACTTTTTTGTATCTTTTTTCTTTCTTTCTTGCACTTTTAGCTTTCTCTTTTCTTTCTTTTTCTTTTTTCTTCCTTACTTTACATTAGTCTGTACTAGCTTTTATTTTTGTTTTTAAAATTTTTAATAAAATTATATATTTTTATCTTTTAAATTACATAGTCTTGTAATTCCCTTCTCTGGAGTAACTATTTTCCAACGTTTCTGCATCAGACATACTCACAGAATCCAGAAGGTTATGGCGGGTGACTTTCAAAGAAATTTTGGAATGAGGTTTCTTCATGTGCACCTGACGCAATTCCCTCTGGAAGAAGTTGACTTTGTCCTGAAAAGTCTCTGAGCCTCCTGAAACCAACAGACCTAGAGCCTTATCTGGAGCTTTTTTTAGTGCAAGATAGAGATTTACTGACCATAACAGCTTTAAAGCAGGAATTATGCTTTATCACTGAAATATATTAACAGATATCCCCATGGCAGATTATACATAATTGTATTGGTTGGTTGGTTGGTTTGCTCAATTTATATAGCCACCCATCTCAAGTACATGACTCTGGGCAGCTTACAACATTAAAACGATTAAAATACATACAAATATTAAAATAAAACAAAATTTTACTTAAAGTAACAAATTCTGTCCCCAAAGTGTTCATCATATAACAAAAATAGCTCTAAGCACTATCTTACAGAATAGGGAAATAAAATTTCCACTCATTAACATTTTCTGTCCCTTTTTTTTCTCTTTCTACCATCTGAATTTTTGTGCACACAAAGATGCACATTCACTCGCATACATAGGTTCAGCATATAAGAGCACTCCTTACATTTCCCATTCTGGAACCATAAACAAGACAGATTTTTACAAATGCAGGGAGGGGACAAATAATCTTTCCAAATGAAGAAATTTCCAAATGGATTAGAAAGCTTATCTGATATGCAGAAAGGTATATCGTTGCTCTATAGTTATATGGGCCTCAGTTAAAGCATTCTGCTCCTTTTTCACATTTATGAATTAATGTTGCACCAAGTGAGGTACAAAACATAATCAGTGGCACAAACACTTATGATTCATTACACACCAACCAGTAGAATCTTCTGCTCTGATTCCTTTTACCTATATTTTTATGCAGAGAACGAATAAAAGTGGCTGCCAAGATGTTCCTCTCTTTGCAACTCAACTCCACAGGAGGCTGGATCCCATCATCCACCACCAATGTCAGCAACTTGTGTACAGGATCAGGCCCATGATAAGAAAACTGGCAGCAAAGAGATGCAGGAAATGGTGGGGGGAAGGAAAGGAGGAAGGAACCATCATTCACCAGAAAGCACAGCACATGAAGCCGATGCAGTTAGCAGTGTTTATGCACATTCCCTTGCCCCACCCTTTGCTCTGAACTGGCTAGCAGAAAAGGTGATTTATAAATTCCACTTCCCACAGAATGACTCTATTTCATCAGGGGACAGTGACGTGAAGAATGAAGTTGAATGACAAGGTGCAAGATGCAATACAGGACAACATCACAGTAGGCTCCCCAGAATAATCTAAAATGCCAGCTGAAAATCTCATTTAGGCTCGCAAATGGAATAAACTATTTGAATCCCTTCATCCCACAAACTTTCTCAAAACAAAACATGCCCCACCACCGAGCTGGGAGTTCCACAAACTCACTTTGGTGCCAGGACATACTCGGAAAGTAAAGAGACGCCAAGGAATAATCTTCAAGTAGAATTCCTTCACTGAGAATTGCTTTGAGGCCAAAGAAAACAGAAATCATGTTTACATGAGTACATTATTCTGAAAAGATTTCAACAATAGACAAGTCCATTCTTTTTAATTAATGTAACACAAGTAATCTAAATTAGGCTTTAGCCACAATTCAGATTTGTAGCTAACCTAGTGATCAGCCAAGACGACGTGAATATCTCTGTCATCTTGTAGAAAAACTCTGTAGCACAATACACCTCTCCTCATAACAACCAGACTGAGACAATTCTAGAAGATGACTGATAACTAGAAACATACAGAACAATGGGAATTGAGTAAAAATAGTTTAGATATTGTCTGAATGGAAGAGTGATAAACAAGCATTCTTACCTTAGGTGAAACATAGCAGTAAACCTTTTTGGGTTTCTTCACTTTCTCAGGGGTCGGGCTGTCAGAAGGAGAGTCTTCATCCTCATCCTCAGTAGCAGTGGAAGGTCGTCGCTGAAAGGAGCCCAAATGCAGGGGTGGAAGATGCCACTGGGTGTTGGTATAGCTACTAGCATTATACAGGTAGGCTTCAAAGTAGATACTGACTCCTGAGGTAGAAACATTGCGCTCTACAGTATTCTTTTCATCCTCTGCAAGATGGACAGGTGTAAAGTGTAACACAGGCAAAGCTTATCACAGTAACACAAGTTATGCAGCTGGGTTTTTAAAATGTTGTGGATCCAGAAAATTATTTTGCAATTTGTATGATTAACTGTTCGTGAATAAGGATATTTCATAGAGAGCCAATTTGGTGTAGTGGTTAAGGCATCAGGCTAGAAACCGGGAGACCGTGAGTTCTAGTCCCACCTTGGGCACAAAGCCAGCTGGGTGACCTTGGGCCAGTCACTTTCTCTCAGCCCTAGGAAGAAGCAGGCAAGCCACTTCTAAAAACCTTGGCAAGAAAACTGCAGGGACTTGTCCAGGCAGTCGCCAGGAGTCAACACTGATTCAAAGCCACACGCACACACTATGTTATTTCATGGAGACCTAATACTCAATTACACTTTTTTTAAAAGTGGGTTGGTTTTAATGTGGGCTGAGTGACAAGCTGTGCCTCCTGGCTCTGGCTCTTCCAGCCATTTTCTGTTTCAGATCTTGCCACTCCATGAAGAAAGGAGCAGGAGTATACATCCAGGAACAACCCAGGGGCATAGCAAATATTTGCAGCCCCATTATACTATCTTCTTTACATTTCATACACATTCAGGTACATGTGTAAACAAGGCTATACTGATATCAGTAGAACTTCTTTGTACATTTTAAATATTTTGGAAGATGGATTTGAAGAGAGAAGCAGAAGAGGAAATGGTGATGGAAATTCATCAAACCCACTGCTTCTCCACTATAAATAGATTTTTTTTTAACCAGCAAACTGGGTTGGTGATTCATTTATAATTTGCAGTTGCCAAAGTTTCTTCAGATTTTATATGCCAAGATTGAATATCAACTATGAATTCCAAAACACCTTATGTATATGAAAATTGAATTACTTATTCAAGGAATGCAAGTCACAAAGTGCAATGATGTTTTGGTTTTAACCATCTTTCTTTACCCTTAACAATTTCAAAAAATTAGCAAGGAGATAATGACAGGGCAATTTTTAATTTAAAGTGCTTGGAAGGCCTCATTTCTATGACAGGACACAAGCTAATGTGATGCCAAGAGATAGAACGCAAGATTTAGATTTAAGAAACCCAGATTCTTAACTCTACTATGAAGTGTACAAGGTTGTTTTGAAGATTACATGCCAGGCTGAAGTTCTGGAAGGGCTACACAATGCATAAAAAAACAGTTACGGTAACTTACCACTTAGAACAATTATGTCAAACTCTCCATTGCTAATAGGCTGGTTTTGGTAAGAGATGCAGGCACGGAAACACCCCCTACGCAGTAGGGTGAGTCTCAGGAAAACTTGACAAGTCTGTTGATTGGACATCACAGACTTTTCAAACAAAACATCAGAAGGCTCTTCTTCCTGGGGGCCAAGCTAAACAAAATAAATATAGGTTAGGAGATATTGGTATGCTCTGAAGTTTTAGGTGGCAAAACATACAGAGCACACTTACTTCATGGACTGAGAGGCTGTAATTGTGCTCATCTATCAGTGATACTGAGTTGCTAGTAGGGTTATCATATTCATCTCTGGGAACTATTTGCAAAGTGTGTGGCTGCCCAAACGTCAGCACCAGAGTGGAGAAATGGCAGGCAATTTTGGTTTTTGAGGGAACCACCATCCCTGAAATAAGAAACACATAGCATAGAATCCCATCTAAAATTACAAGGAGGGTATTTGCCAAGAATAATATATGTAATGACATGGAAATAGGATTGATTCTAAATGAAGCGACCAGTGCTGGCTAACAAGCAGAAACAAAAGTTACTACACCAAAAAGAAAAATGTATAGAGTGAAGAATTCTCTATTTCTTGGTTACAGTGACAGACACAGAGTCAACTCAATGTTTCATGGGGTTAATGCATATGACAGAACTAATTTTACATTTACAGAGCTAGAAAACAGGTTATTTGAATGTGGCAGAATTTTTAACTTCCTTGGATAAAATTATTCATGGTGAAATTTACCATGAATATTTAGGGACAGAAGATGTACCAGGAGACCAGCTGTGTCAAGTATTATTTCCAGACAACTGTAGTGAGCACAAATGATTCAGGTTATAGATAAGATTGCTTCTGAACACCTGTTCCCACTGGACAGTATTTATTCCATCTTTTTAATTTACAAGGAATTGGAAGCAATGAAGCAAATACGTTGACAGACAAAATATAGTAGTGAAAAATACAACATGAATCTTGCTGAACACAAGTAAGAGCTCATTTTAGAGTATGTTCTGTGAATGTGATAGTGGCAGCAAAGAAGTAGAATTTCACTAATACTGAATCTTCTAATCTAATTATTATTTCCCAAGTGGTTTGGAGCATTTTCTACATTGGCCAAAGGGGAAATATTAAGAAATCTTGAATTATTTGGATCAGTTGGATTGAAGCCAGCATTTGATACTGAAAATACCATGTTTACCCTGAAGAATGACCTCATGAAGAACAAAAGGAAGTGCAAAGTTACTAAGATTTTTTTTACTAAAAAGTGGATTAGTAAAACAGATGAACAAAATTTATCATTTTTATGATTGCACCACACTAAAAAGTAGTAGGTTTTTTTCCTAAGTAGGTATTCTATATTTCATTGTGGCTATTAATTAAATTTCACCATAAATTAATGCATTCAAGTTTAATCCCAAAGCTAGACACATAGTAAATATGTAATGTACTCTGCATTATCTAATATAGCCATGGCACTAAATAAATATGGAAGAGCAGCATTAGTGAATATTATTAGATTTCCCCAACTACCTATTTTTGTTTAAGCAATTCTTACCTGGTTGAAAGACTTTGTAGTAAGGACTATACGCAACATTCAAGCCTCCAAGTTTTATGCTTATCTCATAGCGCCCAGCTCTGCGCACAGTGAATGCCACCTTCACCACATTGGAACTGGGTTCTTGAAGCACTTCCTGGGTGACAGGAATATCTATTGCTAACTCCACATGGCAGATGTGAACTCGCAGTCCAACAGGATGATGAGCAGGGAAAGGCTGGCCATTCTTATAAAATAACTGTATGGGGAATTAAGAAGCCAAGTGAATAGCAGACTCCAGACTTCTTGCAGAAGTTCTTCCATCAGCCATTAAAAGATGCAGCAAATTAAAACCATCTTAGTGATCCATACCATGAGTAGTGGCAGAAATCTTTGCTTCAATATACATATGTATATCTGGAGCATATACAACCAGACATATTGCTGGAAGGCAAAATAACAAAATTCCGCCTTACTTATTTCAGCCATGTCATGCGATCAAACTCACTGGGAAAGGCAGTTATGCTCGGAATGGTCAGCAGTAAAAGGAAACAAGGCCGCCAAAAAACACGGTGGCTAGACACCATTAAAGCCGACACCAACCAGAGCATAAAACAACTGAAAGAAGCTGTACAAAATCAGAACATGCAGAGAGATGGCCCATAGAATCGCTGAGTATCAGACACGATTGAACAGATAGCATCATCATCATCATCATATATATAACATCCAAATTTGAAGTCATCAATTAAAAGTAAATTAATAAAGAAAGAATAAAGAATAAATAAAGAAAACAACCTCTTTACAAGGGTTGAATAATACCTGAATTCAGCCCACACAACTCTGACCAAATCTGTGGTTAAAAATATCTGCAGCACAGAAAATGTTCAACACATATAATGATAGCAAAAAGGAGGCGCAGGAGGAAGAGGAGAAGAAGAGGAGAATAATCCTAAGTTAGGGTTTTTTAGCTGTGACTGCCTTGATTTTTTGTTCTCCACTTCCTCAAATTGCATAGAAATGGAAATTTCCTCTTACATGCACTCGGAAGGCCATACTATGGCCCACCTCACAGGGATCCTTCCAGTCCCAGAAGACTTTACAAGAGCGGGGGTCCAAGTAATTGCCTCGCACGTAGTCATAAATTGTCCGTTCTCCTCGGCGTTCCCGGTCCTCATGCTGGAGGAAGCTGACTACACGTGCGGCAAGCTCAAAGAGGAACTTAATGGTGAAAAAGAAAGCCACCACAGATACCACTGTGATCCCTCCTGTCAAAGAGAAAACAGATAGCAATTGTAAGACCCAACAAAACACTCAAAATTCATCACCACAGCTATTTGGTATTGCAGGCTACTTATACTTTGGATGAGAATCTACAATATTTAACCTTGAAGTATATGTAGTCCCCGGGTTAAGAATGCCCTGATTATGGATGACCGTAGTTAAGAACGGAGCCTATTGTAGCAAAATTTGAGTTAAATACACAATGGTTTGAGTTCATTACACAATACTACTTATACTGTTCTGGCTTACATACAAATTCGACTTAAGGGCAAACCTTGGGAACAGAACTCATTCTTAAACTGGGGACTACCTGAAGAATTTTATAGGGAATCATTTCAATCAACAGGACTAAAAGCAGAATAAGGCCTTCTGAGGTATTAAAAAGGTTTGAGATTATCAATTATTTATTTTTATTTTATTATAGATTTGTATCCCACCTTTATTTAATTATATAGAGAGGATAACTCAAGGTGGAGAACATATGTAATACTTCTGCCTCCTATGTTACCCACAGCAACAACCTTGTGAGGGGGGTTGGGCTGAGAGAGAGTGACTGGCCCAAAATCACCCAGGTAGCTTTCATGCCTAAGGCAGGCCTAGAATTCACAGTCTCCTGGTTTCTAGGCCAGCACCTTAACTACTACACCAAACTGGCTCTCTTTATATATGGCTTATAACATCACCATGACACATGAGCACCATTTGAATTTTCTGGCTCAGGCACTAAAATGTTTTTGGCTATCACTGGCATCATTACAAAGGAACTAGGGGAGATCTGTGGACTACCTTGCAGGAAAAGAGGAAACAGAATTGAATATGCTCAATAGTGTTAGCAAAATAGGTACCATTCACAAAACTAAGTTAATAGAATGAAATCTTGAATAGATTGTCTTCCCTTACCAATAATGTAAAACATTAGGTCCTTTCAACGAAACACACAGCCGAGGATTACAGCTGCATCTGGAAAGCAAAAAACAGATCTAGTACAATTTAAAAAAAAACTATGCAGATCTCCTACAAAATGTTTGCTCTCCACAAAACACACTAAGTATTTTTTTTATCCTTCTTTTTATGTCTAGATCTAACCCCCTTTTTAAAAAAAGAACCAAAGTGAGGTCAGTTCTAGTTTTTGGAAATACAAGAACATGTTTCAAGTGTTAAAAATTGACCACCAGCAATAATCTCCAATAGCTCTTTTAGTTATTTATTTATTGTTTTTTATATCCTACCCTTTATCCAAGAAATGGCAATGTACATCGTGATCTTCCCTATTTTATCCCCAGAAAAACAAACTTAGGCCATATTGTGTCACTCATTCTTCATTCTATCACTGTGGGAGAATTTCCAATAATTAAGGTTCGTAGGGGCCCTGGCCTTCGGCTGCTGCTGCTTAATGCCAGGTCAGTTAACAACAAGGCCCCCCTCATATGTGACTTGATCACCAAGGAGGGGGCAGACCTGGCATGCATTACTGAGACCTGGCTGGGGCCCAAGGGGGGGTGCCCCTCTCGGAAATGTGCCCAGCTGGGTTCTCAGTGTGGCACCAGCCAAGATGCCAGGGCAGGGGAGGAGGGGTGGCTGTTGTGATCCGGGAATCTCTAGTGCCCTTCAGTGGCATTACTCCAAAGATTTCGAGCTCTGAGACACTGATTATTAGGTTGGGCGCCCGTGAACAGTGGGGAGTTCTGCTATTGTACCAGCCGCCCTGGTGAGTGGCAGCCTCCCT